CCCCTTCTTGCCTTCAAGGTCCCTTTTGAGAAATCAGCTGACAGTCTGATGGGCACTCCTTTGTAGGTAACTGTCTCCTTATCTCTTGCTGCTTCTAAGATTCTCTCCTTATCTTTAATCTGGGGTAATGTAATTATGATGTGCCTTGGTGAGTTCCTCCTTGGGTCCAACTTCTTTGGGACTCCCTGAGCTTCCTGGACTTCCTGAAAGTCTATTTCCTTAGCCAGAATGGGGAAGTTTTCCTTTATTATTTGTTCAAATAACTTTTCCACTTGTTGCTCTTCCTCTTCCCCTTCTGGTACCCCTATAATTAGAATGTTGGAACATTTAAAGATGTCCTGGATGTTCCTAAGCTCTCCTCATTTTTTAAAAATTGTTGTTTCTTCATTCTTTTCTGATTGAATATTTCTTTCTTCCTTCTGGTCCACTCCATTGAATTGAGTCCCAGTTTCATTCTCATCCCTATTGGTTCCCTGTGCATTTCCCTTTATTTCACTTAGCATAGCCTTTATTTTTCCATCTGATTTGAGACCATATTCAACCAATTCTTTCAACATCCTGATTACCAGTGTTTTGAACTGTGCATCTCATAGGTTGGCTATCTCATTGTCACTTAGTTGTATTTTTCCTGAAGCCTTGATCTGTTCTTTCATTTGGGTCATTTTTTTTTGTCTTGAGGCACCTGTTATGCAGTGAGGGGCAGAGCCTTACGTGCTCACCAGGGCAGGGCAACCCAGTTGCTGGGCTGTGACACTGTATGTGGGAGAGGGGTCTGAGAGGGAACAATGGTGCTCGTTCCACTCTCTGGTGGATTTCAGTCACTTTCCCCACTTCCCACAAGCAAACTGGGCCCTTCTGGTGCTGATCCCCAGGTGGGTGAGTTTGTGTATGTCCTGGGACCCTGTGGATCTCTCCAACAAATTCTCCTGTGATGCTGGGGGTTCCTCCTGGCACCTCAACCCCCAAAGGTGTTTTCAATCAGTGGTTTGAGGCTTTATTTCCCTGTCCTAGGACCCTGGGTTGCGAGGTATGTCTCACTGCCCAGTTTTGCCTGGTTTATCTGCATGTGAATATGGGACTACCTGGGCTTTTTTTTTAAAGATTTTATTTATTCATTTTTGGAGAGGGGGGAAGAGAAAGAAATATCAATGTGTGGTTGCCTATCATGAGCCCTGTACTGGGGACCTGGCCCACAACCCAGGCATGTGCCCTGACTGGGAATCAAACTGGCAACCCTTTGGTTCACAGTCCACACTGAATCCACTGAGCTACACCAGCCTGGATGAGTGATTTTATTTTTTAATTAAAGTATAGTTGACATACAATAATACCATGTTAGTTTCAGATGTGCAATATAGTGATTCAATACTTATGTACCTTACAATGTGATTACCACAATAGGTCTAGTAACCATCTGTCACTGTACAAAGTTATAGTTTTATTGGTTATATTGTTTGTGCTGTATATTACGTCTCTGTGGCTTGGGAGACATACAGTCATATTTGAACACTGATATAATGAAACCAGCAAAGAGGGTGAACTGAACATGTAGGAGTAAGAAGGAGTAATCAATAGAATAAAGATCCTGAGTATGTGAAGGGGTGAGATCTAGAACTCACCCACAGTAAAGGTCTTGTACCTCTATGGTCCTAACTCCAGCTAGCCAATCAAATCCCTCTCTCTTAGAAATTTGAAATTTAAGATTCATAACTGATAGACCCTGCTGACCACTTAAATGAAAGTGATGTAGCTACAAGGGTGGGACATAGAAAGAAGTACATGTAAGAGACCACATGACCACAAAGGGTTGGAAGAAAAAGTGGCTTTAGTTCCTTGTACCACCCCCATTCCTGTTCCAGTTCCTTGTGGATCTCCTCTCGGGTTCCACAAAATACCTCCTTGTGAAAATATCTCCCCTCTTCTTGTTTCTTTGACTTCCAACCAAAATTTTTAACTAAGAAATTGACAGGATTGGATTTTAACCCCAAATGAAACACTTTCTAGGTGTGCAACTTCTAGGCTGAAGCTTCTTTCATTTCTTCTAGGTTGTCAAATTCATTGGTGTATAATTATTCATAGTACTCTCTTATGATTCTTAGTTTGTCAGTGGTATCAGTTGTAGCATCTTCTTTTTTATTTATGATTTTATTAATTTTAATTCATTTCTGTTTTTAATGAATCTAGATAAAGTTTGTCAATTTTATTTATCTTTTCAAAGAACTAGCTCTTTCATTGATTTCTCTATTGTCTTTCTATTCTCTATTTCATTTATTTCTGCTCTGATTTTTGTTATTTCCTTACTTCTACTAACTTTGGGCTTCATTTGTTCTTCTTTTTCTAGCTTTTAAAGATGTATAGTTATTTGAGATTTCTCTTGTTTCTTGGTATAGACATTTATCACTATGAACTTCCTTCGGAGAACTACTTTTACTGCACCTCGTAAACTTCTGTATCTTGTATTTCCATTTTTTGTTTGCCTCATGGTATTTCTTTATATCTCTCTTTTTGTTTCTTTCTTTGACCCACTAGTTGTTAAACAGTGTGTATTTGTTTTATATTACACATTGTAATTTTGCATTTGATTCACATTTTTAGTTTCTCAACTGAAATGGTACATCTTTTCATTTATTTAAAGGATGTTTACATTTACCTCACAGATATTTATCATATGCATCCTATCAAGACTGGCATTTGTTGATTTTCTTTTCCATTAAACTTTGGTCAGATTTTCCTGGCATTTTGAGTGTCATGCAACTTTGGAGTATAATACAATGATGTGAGGCTCTAGATTCTCTAGAATCCTCTGAAGAATGCTGATTATTTTTTTGTTTGTTTATTTTAGCACGCAATTATGCTGGATAGATTCTGACCACCAGTTCTGCCTCATCAACTGTGTAGTTTCAAAGTCAGTTCAAAGGCTGTTCTATGCCTCGTACATCTGCTGGGTGCATATACCACCCAAGTTCTATCTGGAATTTGGGCAGTCATTTATATTGTGGTTCAGTTCTTAAAGAGTTTACTATACTTTTTTGATTTGTTCTGTGTGTGCATAGCTCACTGTAGAGTCTAGAACTTATGTCAGTTCATAACAGAAATAGGGAATACCATTTTTTCTTTCTCTTTTCTTTGTAATTTCTCTCACATTCTTGACTCCTGAAAGCTGAGGCATGTTTTCCTTCCTGTTTCATTGTTCATAAAGATGGTGTTAACCCAGAGTTTTAGCTTGCTGTACTGTTGTACAATTTTGTATGATTGGATTTGGTTATTGTTGAATAAAGTTGAAGGTGAATGAGGAATGAGCATCGGTTGAAAATGTATTTCAGAAATACAAAAGATCTTGAAGTATGAAGAAGTTAAAAAATGTTGAGATAAAAGTAGAAAAGTATTATCGTCTCTTCAGTCAAATGTAGAACAGATTTAGTAAGTAGTTGGATGAATCAAGAAAAATTTTTTCAGCCATGTTTATTTTTAAAAATCAATCATCGGACATTTTTTCAAGGTAATTGTATAAAAGCTATTTACATGCTTCTATTTGACTCACCCATGAAAAGATTCAGGCACAAGGAATAAAAAAAAAACAACACAGAGGAATAAGCACACATTTTCCAGTTCTCAGCATTTTGTTGATTTTTTTTGATTTTTAAATCACCACCTTTTGTTCATTTTTATTGGAACTGGTTTCGATAATATCATCCTCATGAATGACTCAGTTTATGGAAGCTGAGTCATAGTGTTCCTTTTCCGTATAATTTTTCTTTCATTTTCTCTTACCTTCATTATAAAAGGAACATATTCTTATATGATTACCTCTTTCCAATAACAGCCATAATGTAATAAGAACATTGTGAGAACTATTCTTGAATGTTGTCCCAGTCAAGTACTATTAAAATGTAATTCAAGTACCAAGAAGTTAAACTGCATTGTCTCTGAGTGTACTGAATAATAACTCCTCTTCCTGTTTTGATCATCAAATGGAACAATATGGCCATTGTTACTGTTTCTGCTGTGTCCATAGACCTGTAAATACCATGAAAACATTTACCCAATCCAGTCTTAATCTGCATTTTGAAAAAAACATTTTCAAGGTAGTTTATCCTTCCATTCAACTTTTTAAAAAGATTTTCTTTATTTATTTTTAGAAATAGGAAGGGAAGGAGAAAGGGAAACATCGATGTGTGAGAGATACATCAGTCAGCTGACTCTTGCATGCCCCCAGCTGGGAACCTGGCTTGCAACCCAGGCATGTGCCCTGACAGGGAATCCAATCAGCAATCTTTGGTTTGCAGGTCAGTGCTCAATCCACTGAGACACAACAGCCAGGGATCAACTTTTAACATATTAAAAGTTCTTAAATGTGAAGGACTGTGGCCTCATCAGTCCCTAGAAATTAGAAATAGTACAGATGTAGGAAAGTCTTCATTAAAATTACTTACTAGTAATATGGAGAAGGAAAATCTCTATCATTGTAAACATAGATGAAAGAATGTATAAGAAAAATGGGGAGGTGAAAAGGTACTATCTTTTAAAACTTTTCATGTGTTAATTTTTTTTTCTACTTCAGGGTCATTGACTAAGAGTTCAGTGTATCATGGGTTATATTTATTGGCTGCTAAAACAAGACACTAATATGTTCAAAGAACCTCACTAGGTTCAAAGAAAGCCAATGGCAGTAATAACTAAATGATAGTTTAGGACTTCAGCCTTGGTCAAATTCATCATTTTAAACCAGTTTTAAAAGTTCCCATAAAATAAAAACTTTCTTTTCTGGTTACCTATTATCATGTGTTAGTCCAATTATGTTTTTTTCTGACCTGCCCTCTAAACAAATGATGTTTCCAGTGATAAGACTTGCTATGAAATGCAAACTTTTAGTTTCTTTATGTGATGAACAGTGGTTTTATTATTTATCAAATTACAAATAAAGAAATTGGAAAATGAAACTGCATTTCAGAAAGTGGAAGTAATTCTTACCGCTTACGTGATAAGTTGTGGTCATCAGCTGTGGCGACCTCAGAATAAATAGATTCTCAGAGAGGAGAGCCAGAGGAGTGGGCTGCAAGAACGGAACATAACGCATCCACTATGAAAAGCTTGGAGGAAATCCGCAAATACCATGTAGATGAACATGTGGGCTTTGCTCTGCCCAATCCACTGGTAAGAGAGGGTACTGAATTATGGTAAAAATGTTTTCTCATTGTTACTTACCTGGACAAGCTAATTTCTATTGAAAAAAAAATGTGGTTTAGAAATTCCTACTGAACAAAGGGGTAAGTGGGCCAAACTGAAGGCAGAGTTTTAACAAATGGGGCTCACTTAATAAGCTTACAATTTTCTACCTAGAAATTTAGTCTGAGATGTACTACCTATTTTCACAGATATAGAGAGTGATGAGATAAGGAGACAATAAAAGTATTTTGGTTTAATACAGTTGTGTTTTCTGAGGGCATTTTTGAGGGGGGAAAAACAGGAATAACAGATCTGTGAGTCAAAGGAATTCCTTTCCTTGACCTGGTATACCTTAAACTATACAAAGTATATGTCTGTACTTTGGTTAGGTTTTTGAGATGGCATATTTAGCAAGTGTGTTGTATTAATATTGATTGTGGTTACTAAGCATAATATTCAAGGGAGTCTGAACTACCTCTTTTATTTTTTTAATAGTTTTCTCTACAAAGTGAAATGCAGGTACTGTTTGCCTTAACAACTTCATTTCCCTGATTTATCTTGTAAAGAATGCCGTTAAAGCTATCTTAGTATCATCAATAATGTAATTATCTAGCCTTTATAGAGCATTTTGGAGCAAATTACAAATATGTACTTTTCCAACTTGACAACCACCCTAAAAAGTATGTATGTTACTAACCTCATTTTTCTGATGAGAAATGTAAGCTGCTCAGCGTTTAAGAGACTCTTCTAACTCACAAAGCCAGCAGCAGCAGAAATAAGATATGAAGCCTAATCAGTCTGACTCCATAATCCATGATCTTAAAACACTTACACTGTGCTGCCTCTCTTCAAAGAAGGAGAGATCACAGGGCATGCTTCCTCACCCCACCCCTACTCTGGGGATTAACAAGACTGAAATTCCAGGGCACTGTTTTCAGGAACAAATTACATGTTGGAACAATAGTGTATAACAGTATAACTCCATTTGGTTGTGACTCAAGCAGAGTCACAACCAAACTCCACACTACAGACAGTACCTTTAAATGCAGCAAATATATTTTTAGTCAGAGATTCCAATCTGACTGTACTTAGGAACAACATTTAGTGTTTCTCTCTCATATCAACATCTCTCTGTCTCTCTTTTGCTCTTCCTTCCTCTCTAAATTCAATGAATATATCATCAGGTGAAGATGAAAGAAAGAATGAAAAGAAGGAAGGAAGGAAGGAAGGAAGGAAGGAAAACAGAAAGAAGAAAGGGAGAGAGATTGAAAGAGAGAAAAGAAGAAAAGGGAAAGAGAAAGAACATACTGTAAATATCTTGTAATACTGGCAAATCTACAGCAAATTCTTCATCCCAATTCAATTTTTCAAATTATTAAGTTAATTCAAGGATATGAAGTATAGGATTTAATTTTGTTGTTAAAAGCACCTAGTTTACTTTATATTTGCCCCCTCTTCATAACAAGCATGCACAATTACCAGGATTGGCTTGTTCGAAGGATGTACTTATCAATGGTACAATTTAAATAAATACTTTTTCAGAAATTACAAAACCCATATTTAGTTTTTTCTCCCAAAGAGTCAATTTTCTTAAAAAATGAAACAATCACAGTAATTATGGAGACCTCTAAAACAGATTCCAAGGGTTAAAGCAAAACTCCAAGGGCAAACATAGACAATAGTGTGGTAAAAGCCAGGGGAATGGGGACAGGAGGCTGGGTGGAGGTGGACAAAGGGGACCGGGAGATAGGGGACATCTGTAATAGTGTCAACAATAAAAAAAAGGTGAAATAAGAAACCTCTTCTGGAGCTACGTGAAAAACAATGCCGCTACTTGAGATGCTTAGGAAGTTAGATTCAGTGCTGTGATACACACACAGACAAATTAAGGGTTATGTGATGGTCTTCACTGAAGGTCTTTCCTGCACATTATAAGCTCAAAAAATCATCCCATTTCTTATCATCTGTCAGCTTCCTATTTCAGAGGAAATTAGTATGTCTTCTAATTCCATGTAGGGACAAAATGCATTCTCTAATCTAGCAGAGGTTGAATAGTTCTCTTGCTATTCTTCGTTAATTTGGATTGTACCATTTAGGCATCTTCTGAATCAGAAGTATACTATTGATTGAATTTTACATTTGCTGAAATTTCTGTCTAGAAATTTACATTATTACTAATTATGATACTTAACAGAAAATGAATTTCTGTTGTTTGGGGGAAAATAACAACAACCAATAATTTGGTGTGCTACACAATGAAACACATGACAAAAGATAAATACGAAAACTGAAAACACTAGAGCACAGTATTTGTATGGTGAGGGAGAAGAACTCAGAGCAGACAAAAAAGGTGGCACTCTAGTAAATATACTGCCTAGATATTTTGTTACTAAAAGTCTGCTCTAGCAGATTAAGACTGGCCAATTAACTGCAATGCCTCAAAATGTTTGAATTTTATAGTACATTTATCTTCTTGTTTCATAAGGTGCTTATATTATGAAGTTCACCCATGTTGGTTTCACTTAATCGCTTGACTTACACTCCATCCCCACAGGCATCAAGGGCATGTCTGGAAGTAGCTTAATGAAGGAGGAATAGAATCAGGGCAGATGGGGAGTTGTCCAGGGATCTGAACCTTATTTTAGAGTGTTTTCTAGGTCTTTTGCTTGTATATATTCTCTTCAAATGAGGTTATAAATATGCTAAGATCCAGGGAGACACTTTTATTTGGATTTCATTTAATCTTATTGGCAAAAATAAACCTATAGTGAAACCAAAGCAAGAAATCAACATGTGTACATACAGAATTTCTTACGTGTCCAGTGCTGTGCCCAGCACTGTAAGGAAACTAGAATTAACAGCATGATGAAATCCTTACCATTGAGTAGTAAGATATAAAAAAGAGCATGGGTTGTTGAAAGTTGGAAACATGTTTGAATCACAATAAATTATTTATACAAAACAAGTTAGTAAACTGTCCAAGCCTTGCTTTCCAGATTTATGACATAGAAACAACAATCAACTTTTTTGGTCACTACAATAATTAAATGAGAAATTATTGAGTGGAGTGCCTAGTGTACTACTGACATTTAATAAATCTCTTTATTCTTTCATTCAAAAAGACTTAAAATCCAGCTGAGAAGAAAAAAATAGCAGTTAACAAATACATTACTTAACAACAGGAAAAGGTATATAATACGTAGGCTTCGTAACTGGGGACACGGGTGTAAACTGCAGTAGTTAGGGGAATGTTAGTGGAACTTCGGAGGTGACCTTTGAAAAAGAGGCAGATGAGAGTACTCGAGAGAAGAGGAGGAATGCAGAGAAGGTGTTAGCCCTGAGTGTGCAGATGGCAATTGACAACAGGTGTTGATAGAGCTAGACAGGTAAGTGTGTGTTGGGGCTGCATTGCACAGATAGGCTATCAGTGGGAGACAAAACTATTTTACAATAACTTCTACTGGGAAAAAACCATCTTTTTTTTTTTTTAAGGAGGAACTACCTCACTCATATGCTGCTTGGATTTCCATTGTTAAAAATCTTCCTGATCTGATTGAGAATGGTGAACTTCGTGCAGAAGTAGAGAAGGTTTGAATAACTATTACATTGGTCTTCTTCTATTTTAACTTCTTAACAATTTTAATTTGGTTTTGAGGCTATAATGTCACTCCTATTGATGTGAGCCAACCTCTCCATTTATTGTCAGTTACCACCGATCAGCATTGATGGCCTCTCAGGACACAGGCAACAGCGCCTCGCACGTCTGGTCCTGGGGTATATCACCATGGCATATGTGTGGTACAAAGGTGATGAAGATGTCCGTAAGGTCTGGAGATTTTCGAATATTTCTTATGCTACATGATAGATTTACATCCAGTTTACATTTAACATAAAAACATTCTGAAACTATTATTGTAACTGTATTTTGTGAAGCTTGAAAAATAGGAAAAAAGAGAGAAAATCATTCACTGATTTTACAATGTCAACTGTGATCATTATTGAATGCTTAGTCTTTTACTAACATAACACAGTTGTTCCATTCTGTGCAAGTACATATATATCCTGTTTTTTTCACTTAAATTATATTGTAAGCATTTTTTTTTAGTTACTGTACAATCATCCTACTCATCATTTGAAATCACTTTATAATTTTTCATTGAGTTTCAGAACTTTATTCAATCTGGTGTTAAAAAATACTTTACTTGTTTTAAGTGTTTTACTAGTATAAAATAATACTACTATTAGCATATTTGAATACGAAAACTATGGCTTTGGGGAGATATAAACATTATATAGCTATTCTTAGTTAATGCTAAAATGCTAGCTTACATCCGTCAAGATAGAAGAATATATTATATATTAGTTTTACTCTACTCTCATCAACAGTAACTTTAGATTTAAAATAATATTATCTTGTATTTTATCGGCATCACTAATCACATGAAACCTACATAGACGTTAATATCTAACCTTTAAATCACAAAGAAATATGATAGATTCCAGAAGCACCTTCTTCCATTTAGTGAGTTTTCCCATTGTTGACAAAGGTAATGGGTAGCCCAGCTTCGTTTTTTTCTTTCCACCTCCTGTTTAAAGGTAGAATAGCAGATACAGTCCACCTATGTGATGAGTCATCCCCTAATAAGCAGAGAAGAGGAAAAAGTTGTTCTGCATAATCATGGAACATCTTACACTTCCTTAAAATCATGGAACTGCTGCAGCTAGTTTTTTGATAACACAAAAAGTTTAAGACCTGCTTTAGTTTTACAACCTAGCTGAGCACACAGTCTCACTAGAGTTGCTGGAATCTGAGTCTAGCCAAATGCATAGGTATTGTGTATAAAAAGAACACCCATATGCAGCATCAGTAATACAGGGCAGCATATTCTAGATAGAGAAGTATGACAGTCCAGAGGAGCTAACCAGTAGTTGATATGGTCATGAAATACTTCAAGAAAGAAGTGAAATTTGAATTAGTTCTTGGAAGATTGGTAAAGCTTATCCAAAGGGGAGGGGAGCAGAAAATAAAGAGAGAGAAGACTAGCAAAAAAATGGGGAGACCAGAATGCGCATGGCAGAATCAAAAGATAATAAACTTACCAGGCTGGAGATCAGAATTATAAAATAAAACATAGGAATGTATTTTCTAATTTATCCTGTTTTTGTATGGCCATATCACTTTGAAAAAAATTATAGAAGCTGGCAGTGAAAACAATATATATAAAGATTTAAAAAATGTAAGTAAAATCCGACAAAAGAGAAAATAAATAGATAAAAATAAGCTACATCTCTATAAGGCACATTTTCCATGAGAATGGGCAAAAAAATAGCAACTGAGTTTCTTTGCAGCTGCACAAGTGTCTATAATAGATTAGAATGTGTTTGAACACTTCCTTTCTTTGTCCTAAACCATTCGAAATTAACCATTTTCTGTAATTCAGAGAGAGACACAGTTCATTTCCTTTTGGAATATGGGGAAATTGTTTGCCAAACAAAATGTTTCGATTCCCAGTGGCACCAGATCTGCAAAGGGAAGCAGACGTCCAAATGGCACTTTAAGAGTCAATAATTCTATTCTAATTCTTTTGGTATTTGGGTTAAATCATCACCTCCAGGTATGTCACGCTAATCTGAAGCCACTTGGATTAGAGCTCCGTGACTTTTCATTGAACTGTGGAGTGGGCTCCATAGTCACACCATCTCTATCACTGAAGTCCCACCACCCACTTCCCCAGATGGGCCACAGATGCCTGTCCTTTGTGTGGTTAGATATGCATATTCCAGCCATAGGATGCTGATGATAAGCATGACTGTAACTATTACACGGGACCCTCTCATTATAAACTAAATATAGGTAGTTGAAGTCAGGCAGTTGGAAAATGAAATGTCAGCTTTATGAGTAATGGAGCAGTAGGAGAATGTGGCTTGAAGATGTGGCAAACATGGGTCTGCTGAGTGTACCTGCTTTTCAGGATTGTCCCTGTGGGGATAGGAGTCTGTTATTACGTGGTCCAAAACAGGACAGAATTCTATGAGAAACAAGCTCAGGAAAAGAAGTGTTGAGGGGGGAAGGGGGAGGAGCTGTAGTTTCACTCTCAAACTCAGTCATTAAACAGGCATTTGAGGAAGGGTGAGTGAAAGAGCTGAGATAAACCAAGTGTCACTCCAATTTATGTATTTTGCATGGGAATACAAAATGAGGATAATTCCTTCTGCCAACAAGGTAAGCCATCAAGACCAAGCATTAATGTCACTCTATGGTGAAGTTTTCTAAAAAAATCTTTCAGTAGAGAGTTTCTGTCAGTACTGTGCTCTAAAAGCAGCCATCTTCTTTATGCTTGTAGTATGTATCTTTTCCAAAAGCCTTAATTACAAATGCCTTTGAGCTTCTTTGAGGCAATGCATCTCATCTTTGCTTTGTGGGTGGATCAAGAGTACCTTGCATAGAGGAGTTGCCAGACCAATACTCATGGTAAGGATAAATGAATGAATGTAATTTACTCACAGGGTCACTAGATGGTCAAGGATATAACCTTTGTTCTTCTTGCCTTCTACATCTGGCTTTTCTCAATGATTGCATTATGTACATGTCAATGCAAATCCAAAAGCCAAACATTTAACAATTACTGGGACAAAGTTATGAAATGAGCAAGAGAAAATTACATGTTTGTTTTCAAATGCCATTCCATATGGCAGCTAATGTTTTGATACTCAAGAAGCAGAAGATAAGGTAAGACACTTCAACGTTTATACTAAATACTGTGTTTTCATTAGGTCCTGCCCAGCAATATTGCTATCCCTTACTGTGCACTCTCTGAGAAGCTGGGGCTGCCTCCCATTTTGCTTTATGCAGACTGTGTCTTGGCAAACTGGAAGAAAATAGATCCCAAGGGGTATGTAAGCTGTAATTATAGCAAAACTGAAAGAAGTGCATGCTATTTAAATCAAAAGGGAGTAGGGATGGGTTGGGCAGGTAGGGGGAAAATGGAGATAATTGTATTTGAATGACAACAAAAATTATTTTAAAATTTTTTAAAAAATTTAAAATTAAAAGGGAGTTAGTCATTGGTTTAATTTTTAGCTACACAGTTTTCTTCAGTGTTTTGGGGGTGAGGTTTCTTTGGCATATCTATAACCACAAATGTATTCTACATATATGAGAGAGGAGTGTATAATTAATGTACAATGAATTGCATAAATCTTAAGTGTTCTGTTTGATGATTCTGACAGAGAATATTTCTATCACCTGAGAAAATTTCTTCGTGCCTCTTTCTGTTCAATTCCATTCTCTAACCCCAGGTTTTTCTGATTTGTCATCAAAAGTTAGTTTTTCCTGTTATTTCATTTCATAGTGATGAGGTCATAGAATATGAATTGTTTTATGTCTGGATTCTCAATTAACATGTTTCTGAGACCTATGGGTTTTTAACTATCCAGTTGACTTTAGGAGTTATCATCTTCAGCAGTAGGGATGGCAATGTCTGGGTTTTCAGAGCAGCATGCTCAGAATTTATTTAGGCCATTTTTAACCATTTAGTTATGGGATCTGCTACAATGAAGAAATAAGAGAATTGTGGTACCTTCTGGGTCGTGCTGTGAAACTGCAGAAGAATATTCTAGACATGGAGATGGCCCAAAATGAAAGGATTTAGTCTAGGAGTTTTTGTTGTGTCCAACCAGTCTGACCATTCACATGTGTTCCCTGCATATTGATTTTTTATTTCCCTTATGAAGTCCTAAGTTAAGGGCTTACCATGACTACTTGAGAAATATAAAAAACATGTATATTTTTTATCTGACTACATCTTACCTTTAACAGTAGTATTAAGTCTAATAAAAATAGTTTATAGGAGGTATTAAATTTAATAATAGTGACATTAAATCTAATAACAATAACTTGAAACCATTTGATTTTTTTCCATTGGTTTTCTTTCTCTCTTCCAACTGGTCCATTACTTCATTGCTGCTTTCATAAGGCCCATGAGTTATGAGTAAGTATTTGATTCTTATTTTAGCCTAAGAATTATTTGTTATTCAAAGTAAATATAGGCTTATCAATATCCATCAAATGCATTTTTTAAAAGGCCAATTGAATTCAGGCAAAAATAGTAATTCAAATAATTGTTTAAAGAGCAAGCAATCTCTATCCTTAATTATATCTGTGACTGTTGTGTGACTGTCTAATATTATCGCTATAGATACATATGAAAGTAATACTTGCCTATATAAAAATATAATTAATAGATATAAATACAAAATGCACATACCTCTGTGTATCTATGACTTAATGACCTCAGTGGCCAGAAACATAAAGCTGTTCTTTTTGACTCAGTCCTTGCTATTTTTGATTTATGTACCAAACAGAGGCTAAGAGATAGGGAAAAAAAGGTGAATGTCATAGGTATCAGCCTGCCCTGATGAAGCTGGACCAATGGGGAAGAAAGGAGGTATATGAAAATTATGTAAATTGCAATATGATTACGAGAAGGGGTAAGAAGATAAAGTACTGGAAACTCTAGCCAAATGAAAAGGATAAAGGAGAAATCCATTGTAAGGAGTTATTTAAGCAGAGTTCTCAAGAATAAGCAGAAGTTAGCTAGGGGAAAGAGAAATAATGAGTGTTTATAGAGGAGGATAAAGCAAGAGTGAAAATAAGGCCAGTGACAAAAAGCTTGGTGCCTTATCAGAACTAAAGGAAGGCTAGTATTGCTGATAAATGAATGACAAAAGTAACAGTATGGGAAAGGAGTGAAGAAATAAACTTTTTTAAAAAGATTACATAGGAATTTTGTCTATGATAAGGGCTTTAAACAGTATCTTAAAGTAAATGGGAAGCTATGGAATGTTTTTAAGTGAGAGACTATCATCAGTCTCATTTCATAGATAGAAACACTGAGGCAGAAGCAGAAGGAATATCAAGCTCAAATTAACACAGGAAATAGGTTACAGAAGTAGTCCAGCTTCAGAAACCATGAACTTAACTATCATGAAACTCACAGATATACAGATACTGAGACCCAACAATGCAAAACTTCAGTAAGAAAGAAAATAGGGTCTAATCAATTATTTGAATTTGCCAATCAACAATCATATTTTGAATTTGCCTATCAATTCCTTTCTGTAGCAGATTAACCACTGAGAAACTGAATTAGATTCACAGATAAAAATGTGGATATGAATACAGTTTGCAAAAAGCAAAAAGACCACTTCGTAAAATCAGACCTCACAGATAGCTCTGTAAATGCTATGCATATATGTAGGTATGAATATGTGTGTGTGTATGCTCCTATATATGCATGTGAAAAATTAATGTAGTAACAGAAATGGTCTTGGAATTTCTAGTTCTAGAATGGCATTTCAAGTCTCAGCTTAATCTTATTTTTTTTAAGTTTCTACTTACTTATCTTTAGAGAGAAAGAATGGGAGGGAGAAAGAGAAGGACAGAAACAGTGATGTACAGGAGAAACATTGATCAGTTTCCTCTTGCACACCCCCAAACGGAGACCTTGCAATGCGGGCGCCTGCCCTGACCAAGAATTGAGCCAGTGACCTTGCAGTTTGCCCAATGATGCCCAACCCCACTGAGCCACACCGGTCAGGGCCCAGCTTAATTTTTTATTAATTATATGATCTTAGGCAATGAATTTAAAGTGAATATTTCTATATAATGGAGATAGTAAAACCTGTAATACTTATCTCACAAGATTATTTTGAAAATAAAATAAAACAAGTAAAAATGCTTAAAAACTATGAAGTAGTCAACAACTATCCCAATATCCTTGCTGTATTCTTGACTTTCTTGATTGATTTTCTTAGGAACATGGACGTTCTGTTTTCATTTCCTGGTGGAGACTGCACTAAAGCATTCTTTCTCACTTCTCTCTTGGTGGAAATAGAAGCTGCTAAAGCGATAAAAGTATGTCCGTTTACCTTACAATATGTGTATCTTAATTCATATAAGCAGAGCAATCACTTAGTAACTCAACTGTGTAATGCATAAAGTGACTTTATCCTGACTAAATAAAAACAGCCTTTGATTATTTAATTGAAGGTGAAGGGTCATTTGGAAGAAACAAATACTGAATTTATTTGTATGGGTTGTCTACAATATAAAATGGAGGAACCATTTATTTAATTAAATTTGAAACCTCAATAAGAGGAATATTTTCAGTGAAAACTGGCATTGGAACATAGTGACATAAATCTAATGACTTTGCCCATCAGAAATAGAATGAGAAATATATAGAAACTTTATAAACTTATCTCTAAATGACAAATGAAGAAAGACAAATCCAAGCTTAAGAATGTGTAAGAAAACTAGTTAAATGATCGGAGAAACTCAGCTCAAGAAAGAAGCAAAAATCCCAAATTTAATTTAGGGATTAAGATTTAGGAGGATTTATTCTGTGCCACTGTTTAGTAAATCTTAAGTGTCTGTCTTTTCTTTCTTCCTTTTATTTTTTTAGAACATTCCCTCCATGTACAAAGCACTGGAAGATAAGGACCAACATGCTTTGCAGGAGGCACTGCTTCATATAATTTCTTGTCTGCACAACGCCAAGGAAGAGTTTGAAAAAATTCGTGGCAAGTATTGCATGTCATAGGACATTCTAGGCCTCAAACAAATGTTTCTGATTATCTGAGATATAGAGTTGTTGACAAAATGGAATCAAAAACACTCTTACTTAGTGGGTGTGTTTTCACTCTATTTTATCTTACTAAATCTGTACTTTCTAAGTGGTAGCTTTTATCATGTTCATTTTATAGAGAAGGGAATCTAAATTCAGAGAGATAAGATAAATGACCTCAGATTACAGAGGTAGAAAACAGTGAAGCCAGAATTTCCAGCTGCATATATTTAACTAAAAAAAAAAAATCCTTGCCTCTCACTAAGAACCGTGGAGAATCTCTCCAAAGGTATAGGCTGGTTTAAGTTCTGAAAGACTTAGCTTCTGCTTGATAGGAGCTCTATACAAATTCTGCTTTTTCATAAGTTAACTAAGAAATAACAAAGAAAACCATTGAACTCAAAAGTATTGCAAAATTGACAGCTAACAATAATAACCAAAAAATCTTACATAAGCAAGATTTGCAAGAAGAAATTTGCCCTACTAGATGGCCCTAACAAATATGTGCCTATATCACTGGTATTTGAGTTGCTGCTGAGTGGTGCTTGGTGAGAAGACTGACCTGAAATCAAAGACATTAGCAAGCTTTGCGGATGTCGGGGAACCTAGAAATGTGGTCCATAGGACTGCTGGGGTTCTTGTTTCTGGATTTTTTTTTGTTTGTTCATTGTTTTGAGATTTCTTTCTTTCTTCATGGAAGGAAATGATCTGTTATGTCAGAAAGCACAGGAAGTAACCTTAAAGAAATGTTGACAGTTTAATTAATGCGCGAGCATGGGTGGCTGGTGGGTTCAGGCTCTTGGACCGTCCTATGGTAGAACCTGTTCATGAGGCACAAGAGATGAGCAGGGCTCACCAGGGAGCATGCAAGTGAATGTGAGCTTGTCTTCAGGGGCTTTCTCTGCACAGACTGCAGACAAACCGGTTGCCTTTCCTGCAGCCTCTGCTGCCATCTGCTATCAGCTGTTTACATTAGCTTGATTTCCTTTCACACCCTAACTAAACACATGCAATCTTTTCACAGGCCGTTTGGACCCAGACCAGTTTTTCAATGTTCTTCGCATATACTTGTCTGGGTATGTAGCCTTATGTTTGAATTTTTCTCTTCCACAATTAACATAAGGAATCCACCAAGTTCCCACTAATGGTCCCCACTATCCATTATGCTTAGAAAATACTTTTTTTAAAAATAGGTAAAATACATGTTGTAGAAAAAGAATAGACTATTATCTCTGTTATTACTTGGTGAGGCCCGCACTGGTGTATGGACAGAAAAGCTAGTCATTTTAAAGAGAGAGGATGATCTTTGCTAATGCAAAGGTAAGCTCTAGCCATAGAATACATAGACCAAATTTGTTCAGAACCGTGCTGTGTGTTATTTTTATGCATGCACATGAGTGCAAAGGAGAATATGGGAGGAGAATAATGAAATCTATCTCACATCACCTATCACCTTCCATTCATCCTCTATTGCAAGATTTTATGTCTGAAAATTTGGCAATTAATCCAAATAATGATTTTCTTTCCTTCCCGGCCCAGCTGGAAAGGCAACCCCCAGCTGCCAGATGGTCTTCTGTATGAAGGAGTCTCAGACAAGCCAGAAATGTTTGCTGGGGGTAGTGCAGCCCAAAGCAGCATCTTCCAGTGCTTTGATGTTCTGCTGGGCATTAAGCAGAGTGCTGGTGAACGTGAGTAGAAAATGATAATAAACATCTATGTTAATGCAATAGTTTTTTAATATCTAAAAAATACCTTCTTATCTGCATCTTATCTGAGCTTATGTGGTGCTTTTAGGAGAATCAGCAGAGTAGAGATTGTATTGCCATGATCTAATTTCACGGATGAAGAAGCAGAAAGCTAAAGACTTGATTTAAGTGGCCTGTTGCCTGTTAACCAGCTAGAAAGCACTGAAGGCAAAACTCAAACCCAAGTTCATCATCCTCTTGGCATTTAAACATATATTTATAAGGCTTGATTGACTGTGGTGAAACCTACATTCCATGTTCTAAAAATGTACAATCAGATTTAGAAAGAAAAGGTCGCCTGCAAATGAGACAAGACTGTGACTAGGAGTTGGGGAGGTGGAAACTTCAAGGACAAGAGGATCCATACTGCTCTTGTCCCACCTTCCACGCTGTCGTGGCAACCCGCGGGTAATGCCCGGACTGAAGGGTGAAGATGAGCCACGTTCATTATGCTCCTTTAAGGACTTAAATGAAGGATTTCTTTCTACTATTCTCTTTTTCCCTAAACTTCTATTTATTCAAGCTAAGGAAAAATACGTTTTTTCCTTAGTCCATTCACTTATTTTTAAATGATCCTTAGAACTCTCTTAGACTTGATGTCACAATCTGTCCAGTACAAATTACATATATATAGATATATATCTATATCTATCTATCTATCTATCTATCTATCCCCTGCCTACATCATCCACTCCACCAGATGATCAAATACAGTAGGACAGTGAGAAAGGATGCACAAACAAAAATCTTTATTATGAAAAACTGAGTTTAGCTCATCTGATTTTCAAACTTAAAAGCATTTACAATAATTGCCATTTCTAGTAAGAATAACAGCTTTCTAATAGGATGGTTTAAAACTCATTATCCTATGCTGTACTGCTGGTCTGTGATCTTGCAGCTACTTTGACCCCACTCTGCCCTTCCTCATGGATTGCGGAATCTTCCGTCTCTCTACTAACTTATCCTTCCCTTGTTCTTTCAGCATCAGCCGCTGCATTCCTCCAGGAAATGCGAACATACATGCCACCAGCTCACCAGAAATTTCTTCAGTCCTTAGAGTCAGGCCTCTCAGTGCGAGAGTTTGTCCTTTCAAAAAATGTTGATAGCCTAACCAAAGCTTATAATGAGAGTGTGCAAGCTATGGTCTCTCTGAGAAACTACCATTTGGAAATAGTAACTTCGTACATTCTGAATCCTGCAAACAGGCAGTCCAAAAAAACTGCACCTTCCAAAGAGACATCAGAAGTGGAAGCTAAAGGAACTGGAGGAACCAATGTCATGAATTTTCTAAAGAATGTGAGAGGTACAACTGAGGAGGCCCTTTTGAAGGTAGATTAATGTAACCCAAGCAAGGGTACATTTTGTCAGGACAGAGATTATATGTGTGTGTGTGTGTGTGTATGCTCATTATATTAGACTCACAAATTAATATGCTACTCATTATATTAGACTCACAAATTAATATGTAACAATTTCTGAATAGTGCATGATAAAAGATTTCAAAATGTTTTTTCTGATGTCTGTGAATTCCTTGCATGAAAATAATAAAAAGCAATTATATTAGAGGTGCTATGACCTATTCTATATAATTAGAATGTAACAATAAAAGTTGAAATGATATAATAAAATTCCTAAAAGTTGGTTTATTCATAACTATAATTAAACACTGCTCCAAATGAGACCTATTCCACACTGCTACCCTTCATGCAGGGCAAACAGATTCCTGGACTTCCAACTCAGTAATATCACACTTTCTCACAGTTACCTGTTCATTTGTCTATATTCTCATTACAATATGAGCTTCATGATACCAGGGACACTATTGTTTACCATACCCATGCATGCCCAGTTGTTAATACATATGTAATAAATATATTAGGTAAATATTGAAAAGATTGAGTGAGTTTATGAATAAGTCAAAATGTGCCAACATGAAGTCACATTTGAAGTATAATTTTTCCTAGGAGGTCAGAGTTATTAGGCATTCAATCTCTGGCATAAATTTATTTACCAATGGAATCTAAGAAATTTAGGGCTGAAGAGGAACTTAAAAATCATATGAGCCAAACTCACTATAAAGATGACCAAACTCATTATAAAGGCTCAGACAAGTGAGGTGGCTTACTTAGGGTCACATGATTAGTTTAAAATGAGAAGAGAACTTTTTTGACAACTTCCATCTTTTTCACTTCATTTGGAGCAAGTGGGTTAGAAAGGAAGGGAATTTGGGGAGGAAATGGATGACTTGATAGGATCTCATGAGGTAGTAAATGGTCAGCCAGAAAATGGGTATTCTATTAAAGACAAGAAGAGAAAAAAGGCACAAAGGTTGTATGGATAGAGGATTAGCAAGCACTTTCAATTTAGAAAAGGCTCAGCTCTGAGGAGATGAGTTGGATGCACCCAAGTACATTTGAAGAAGGAAATGTAGTCACATATTTCTAAAGTGAAACATTCAAAAACAATTTTAGCATCATTTCTCAAACACACCCAAACTAACCCAAGGAAATCAAGCAGAATCTCTGCTTACAGCAAAATTCACACATATTACTAGTGCATGGTACACATTTTCTCCTTTATTCTCCAGTCAATATTTCTGCAATAGGCATATATAAGTTTATAACAAAAATATGCATGCATGTATACATGCATACTAAATACATATGTGTATGTACATGAGTGTAATTTTTAAGTGATCACCAGAAAGATCACCATGTCGTAGAGTTAGATGCTTTTCAAAAGCACTAAACTGAAAGTCAGGAGACCAAGAACTGGGGTTTATTTTGGACATCTACTCAGTCTGTGACCTTAGGCAAATGCTTCATATTTCTGTAAAATGAGTGTGAAAATACTTGCTCTGTCTCATTCACATAGTAACTGTGAGGACAGAATAAAATACAGTGCCAAAATACTGGAAAATATAAAGTAGTACTAGAATATATGTAAATAAGTTTTCAGGACCATTTATTGGCTCTAGGTCAAGGTTTTTTCTGTCCTTTCTGGTACACTGGTCACTCTGGCTTCACAGCTACACCTCACAAGGCTACATACACATCAGGAGTTTCTCCCTCAAAGTTGGTTTTACCTAATTAGCATTGAATCACTTTGACACGAAGAGTATCTTTGGTCTCCTCTGCGAGGCCCCACATTATATCTCCTCCTTTAGAGCAACACACCCATCTGACATGGGGTGGAGAGGTGGGTAGTGGGAGGGGAGAGCTACGGGCATTGTCACTGACACTGCACTGCTATTAGGTAGGTGATGGCCAGACTAAGTCTTAGCTTCACGTTCTCCACAGAGAGTGTATACATTTGTTCCTCAGAGTCGATTCTCTTCTATCTGTCCAAATAATAGAGGCTGAGATTCCAAACACACTCATAGATCCAGAAAATAAACTGAGGGTTACCATATGGTTGGGGGGCTGGTGGAAAAGGTGAAGGGATTAAGAGGTACAAATTGTCAGTTACAAAACAGTCCCAGGGATGTAAGGTACAGCATGGGGAATATAGTCACTAATATTGTAATATTAATGTATGGTGTCTGGTAGGTACTGGACTCATCGGGGGAACATTTTGTAAGTTACATAAATGTCTTACCACTATGCTATACACCTGACACTAATATGTTGAATGTTAACTATAATGGAAAATTAAAAAAACAAAATCACCGTGATTTTTGAAAACAAGATTCCTGATTTCCCTTTAAGTTGTCTCTGGAATGGGAGAGGTACAACAAAATACTGGATAAGTTTCTAAAGAAATTCTACTATTTCTTCTCTGCATCCCACGTGGGCTCATCACAATGAGTGGTCAACTGGGAAGGGTTGCCAGAGGGTAAAGTTAACATCCTACTGTAAGAAAAGGTTTTAGCTAGATGTATTCTTAGTAACATGGATCCTGTTTAGATAGAGTTAATGACAATTCCATCCCTGTCTGTGTCCTAGTAAAATCAGAAGTTTGTAATGGTATATTCTTCTACCTATTGTTTTCTATAAGTGAGGAGAATTTGGCTTAAAATATGTATCTTTTTCATATAAAGAGTTCAGAAAATTAAGTACTCTTGATCTCCTTTTTTCTATAATTAATTTATATAATAAATAATTGAAGTTCCTTATACCTAAGCTATATCTTTTTCCCCCTCACTTTAATATATTAAATACAATATTCAGTTCTGAACTTCTGAACTTCTCTGGATCACCCTGAACTTCTTTTACCTTTGTCTAAGAGCTGGTGCCAAGAGTTGGTCAGTTAAAGATGGAAATGTACTCATTTCCACACAATTGTTTTAGGTGACAATAAACAATCGAAAAGTTCAAAGTTCAGAAATGCTTAAAATTTGGCACATAAACGTGCACTTGAGGTTCTCTGAGTTTCTTGGCATCTGGGACACAATGACAAGACTCCCTCCCCAACATTTCTGGCAACGCAGCAAATGCCTATTTAGAGCTCACTCTTCTAATTACTGCTCCAACTGGTCTTTGTACATCAACTCGTTAATCTTCAAAGTAACTCTCTGAAATAAGTAGTATTATCCTCCCCATTTTACAGGTAAGGAAACTGAGATGCAAAGAAGTCAAGAAATATGTTTTTAAAATGCAAGTAAAAGGCAAAGCCAGGTATAAACTCAGGTATCTGGATCAAAAGATTGAGCTCTTAACCACCATAGGAGGAAATTCACCCAGTTTCTGAGGAAATACTTCTTTTACCTTCAGTATTTAACTAGAGAAGGGGAGCACAAGGGAACTAGACATTGAACTTAATAAACTAGGGAGCACAAGCCTGCTTGCTTAGCCAGGAAGCTACAGCTTCACTCCCCAGGAGATCACAGCATTGTTCTGCCAAGGGGATTAACATTCCTCCCTCCCCCGCCTCTAGTACCTAGTACCAGATTGTTGGGGGCCCAGGAGGAGGTGCTGAGCCATAAAGGCCTGTCGGCCTAACTAGGAGGTGTTAACCCATCCAAAGCCCAGAAAAGTCAGAGAAGTTGATTGGTTCTTTTGAAAAGGCACCTGGTCTGTCAAAAACCCAAGCTAATATAATCCCAGGAGAACAAAGAAGCTCTCTCCCTTTCTCTCTCTCTCTCTCTCTCTCTCCCCCCCCCACCTGGTAATGTGTCCACCCAGTGTGCTCACATATTCCCTCTCCATAGCTATGTGGCCTTAGCAGCCACATGGCCAACAACCTTACAAACTCTGCTACTGGAGCAGCTGGGAACGAGTTAAGCTACCTGGATCCAGACTGAGCCACCTGCGGGCTCCAAGCAGAAACTGGACACTGGCTTTTGTGTTGGCCCTACCGAGGACAAGCTTGAACCTTTCCCATGGAGGGACAGAGGGAGATGAGACAGTGGAAACCCAGGGGCAGCTTCTATTTCCACACAAATAAACCCTACCACACCGCAGTCTCTCACGTGAGGGTCCTTGGAACGCTCTCCTTGTGATCCAGTGGGAGAGCCCAATTCTCACTTGACAACACTTACAGAGAAGAGGAAGCCATTAACAACACAGAAGCTCCACTCTCTTTCATACAGGTGCTCTCAGAGACACTTGGGAGTTAAAAATTAATAGGATGCATTCACTAATCCTAATGAATTTATAGTCTAACAGACAAAATATTTTGTGATATTTCCATTGGTTGTTACTTTTCTAATTGTTAGACTAATAATATAGGCACAGAGTGGGAGATTTATTCTAATTAGAAGGGTTGAGGAATGTTTCTTACAGGAGGTGACATTTGATGGTTCCCTTTAAAATTTAATTAATTGTCCTGGCTGGCGTAGCTCAGTGGATTGAGCGCGGGCTGGGAACCAAAGTGTCCCAGGTTCGATTCCCAGCCAGGGTACATTCCTGGGTTGCAGGCATAACCCCCAGCAACCACACATTGATGTTTCTCTCTCCCTCTCTCCCTCTCTCTCTCTCTCTCTCTCTCTCTCTCTGTCTCTATCTCCCTCCCTTCCCTCTCTAAAAATAAATAAATAAAATCTTAAAAAAAAAGTTTAGTTTAAAAAAAAATTAAAAAAAAATAAAATAAAATAAAATTTAATTAATTGTTAGAATTTAACGGAAAAAAAATCCCTCCCAAATTTCCAGCATTAAAATAACAAGCAAAAATATAACTTTGCTTATCAACCCAGCCTTATACAATTCAAAAATTAAATATAAACAATGTGAATTCTGCAAATGAACATGAGAATTGTCTAATACATGGAATATCATCATATAGCAACTCTTAGATCTATAAATTAATAAGATAATTAATATATTTAGTTTTTTTGTGTACCTCTTACTATTTTAAAAGTGTCATATATATCAATTCACTTAGTCTTGTCAATGAGCCTATGAGATAAGTACTAGCTAATTTTACAGATATTGAGAGAGACCAGATGGAGTTCAATAACTTTCAAAAGCTACATAGTTATTATATGGCAAAAAAAAAAAAAGAAAAAAGTGATTAAACCCAAGTAATCTGACTCTGGACAAATACGTCAGTCTGCTACTGCAAAGGGGACCTGGCCCTTAGTAGGTCTGCCTAGGGCAAGCCTGTTGTGTGGGCTCTTGGCTTCATGCAGGAAAGATGTCAGAACAGGAGTCCAAGTGACTATGAGGGTACATTTATTAACGCCGGGGAC